TGGATTTTTTGCCGAATAAAAGCCATCAGTTTTCAGATAGACTAAGTCTGTATAATAACGAGGATTGATTTGAATCTTGAGTGCTGTTAGAGGTATGAGGGCGGTTATCACTTCCCGGTTGCCCACACCGTGCAAGGGTTCTTCTGGTTGTGCCTGAAAAGGAAATTGAGTTAGGAGTGGTCTTAGTGACCTAAAAGCGTGACCGCACTGCCCAGTGGACAACTGCTTGAGGTCGGTCACACAAGACCGTTTTATGGGCAATTTTTGTGTTAGCTCCGTACTTGTTGAGACCTTACTGCCGGAGACGGATATCCGTGGGATAAGGTGAGGTGTGCATTTTTAAGGCCGACCATTTCTAACCCCACCCCTCCTTGTGGAAAGGCAGCATCGCCGTTATGCTGGTTGTCTGGAGAAAACACCTTACTGCTGTCACACCTCTGTACAGTCAGCAGTACGACTTCGCCTCCGGACCTTGGGTTTGTTGCTTTTAGTCTTACCGCTCTTTAACCGACCTGTCTGACATGGTAGGACCTTGAGGAACGATTGTTGCAGCCAGTATAGCTCGGTTGCTCCATCACGATAGGCCAGCCCGACCACCACGTCAAGGTAGCAACAACAGTCAGGAATAATAGGGATAACATTTAACGGTTATTTATGTCATTCGTTACCAAAAAAATGACAGTATGAGATAGTTTTACCACTCAGGGTTTGGAACAAAGTAATGTTCTCTATGATTTAATCAAGGTAAATTTGATCGAGTCTATAAAGAAGAAAAAAAAGCAACAGCAACAATCAGACAACCTTGATATTCGGTATTTGCTGTTGTGTAATTTCAATTAAAATAGAATATATTTGAACCAAAATCTGGACACTGATTTTAATGTTGTTCTTTTTTGGATAGATTAAGTAACATAATCGACGGCTTAAGCAAACACACAATATAAGACAGAATAATAGATACTATAATTCTTTGTTTCTATCCAGACACTTATAAATGTACATAGGTGTACAGAAAAAACTTGGCCAATATGAAAATGCTCAGTTATTGTGCGGTCATATAAGTTTGCGCATGAAAAGTTTTCCTACCGAATACAAAGGTTTATTTTACCATTTTTAGATAATAACCGAATTAAATCACTACAAATGAAGCTTCTTTTCAAACTATTGAATAGCTGACTAAATATCTTATTAACATTTACGTCTGTTACTGGTCATGCAGGATCATAGGCCCCTTACTACGATTCTGTATTCAATTCTGTCTTGAGCAATCCTTCCCAGTTGTTTCCAGTTACTATTCATCGTTTATATGTCTGCTTCTAATTCTTGATGAAGTGTGTTCCTTGGTTTTCCTGTTTCCATTCAGGATTCCAAGTTAGTGCTTGCTTCGTCATACAGTTCGATGATTTCCTTGGAGTATGTCCTATCTACTTCCATCGTTTTTTCCTAATTTCCTCTTCAGCTAGAAGCTGGTACATGTGACGATGACCCTGTTATTTTTAACGTAAGTTGAAGCTGCTGTTTCGTCTGCTCACTGTAACGACAGGATTTCGTCCGTTTTAGCTAGTTATCGCTCACATCTGATATGATAGGGAAAAGCAAACATACCGTCAAGTTTCGATGGAAACCAAAGCTAATTAATCTACACAAGTCCCAATAGCTAATTATAAACTGATTCGAAAATTAAGCTACTTATAAGTAGTATCGTATCTTCTTTGACATTTTCTAAGTCATTTATTTATTTATTTCTTCATTTATTTACTTACTAAACACAAACATCGGTACAAGAGGGTACCAAATACATATGCGCCAAGCAATAACAGTGAGGTTGCAAAGAGGTAGAGAATATAAAGTGTGTATAATAAAAACAAGAACAACAACGAACAGAAATTAGTTTATGATAGTGAAGTAATAATAATGGGAGAAACAGTTCAGTTAGCTATGAAGGAAGTTACTGAAGGATCGCCACTGGTTTCTATTTCAAGCCATGTCCCATAACGTCCCTGGACAGCTTTCATCCATACCACTACACCATGTCATACACTGACCACCTCTCCGCTTTTTCCAACCAGTTCTAGAGTCATCAAATAATGCATGACATGGAATTCTCTGGGACGAAATTCGTAATACGTATCCAAGCTGCCGAAGTCAATGTTTCAAGATAGTGACACCGATTGAATTATCGTCGCTGTGCCCGAACACACGATCCTGAACCTCTGCATCACTAACATGGTGTTGCTACTGGATGTTAGAAATCCTTTGGAGACAACGATGATCAAACACAGTCACTTAGCATCTTCAATACTGAGGACAGGTTTCACAAGCACGGTGTTGTAGGTCTCGCCTTTCACAGACAGACTAACATTACGAGGACGCCAAAAATTCCCTAGATTGGCATAAGCTGCTCTTGATTTCACTATACGTGAGTCGATCTCATCACTTAGCAGCTACCCAGATACACGAACTTCTCAACTACTTCTATCTGCTCACTACCCAGAGTGAGTGCAGGCTCAGTGGCCTGCCAGTTTTGTTAAAGTACTTTGCACTTTGAAGGTGCAAAGCACATACGATACCTACGGACACTAATTGCTAACTGACTAAGTGTGGGTTTCATGTTTTGGGGATCATCGCACTATAAGACAATATCACCCCCATAGTCACGTTCGTAAATCTTTCTCCAGACAAGAGATTCACACCGCCATTACTTACATCTATCAGAGCTGTTTCCAAAATGTCATCGATGGCAAAGTTGAAGAGGAATGGCGAGATTGGGCAACCCTGTTTAATCCCACTGCTTGAATAGAACAATGGAGAGAGGTGGTTGTATGCCCTCACTCTGCCTGGGGTGTTTGTATATAGGGCTTTTAGGATGTTAATAAACTCCTCAGGCACACTCTTCTTCAATAGACAATCCCAGAGAGTAGTCCTGTTCAACGAATCGAAGGCGGCCGTAATGTTAAGAAACACTACGATTGTTGGCGTGTGATAAGTTTGACGGTGTTCTAACATTTGGTGGAAGGTGAATTTATGATCAATACATCCTCGACTAAAAAGAAAACCAGCCTTCTCCTCACACGTCAATCTTCCTCGAGTTTTGAACAATCCACGATGAATGACGGAAGCCGACAGTTTGGATGCAATTGGAAGCAAACGTATCTCCCGATAGTTGTTGCAGAAACGACATGAACCTTTTTTAAATATAGTAACGACTATCAACTTATTCCATGATGTTGGGACACTCTAATTGTCAGACCTTTGCAAACAACTCAGTCAGTTCCGTAACCAGGAAGTCAGCACCATTATTCCAAAGTACTCCAGGGTAAAATTTAGGACGTATTTGACAACACCATTGAGAATGTGAAATAACGACCAAGTCTAGATGTTCACATATATGTACAAACAGCGAACAGGATGACTTAAATTTTTTACTTAATGTAAAAACACTCCTATTTGAAGCGACAAATTTGTCTGCACTGAGTTATATTAAAGAAAATACCCCTGACTGGATAATCTAGTATGTTTGATCAGATGGAGGTAAACTGTTTTCTGAGAGATCACTCGGAAATATGTCTAAGAGATTCCGAAAAATCTAGAAAAGCACGTCTTATTAGTCTTGGAGAACGGCATTTAAAAACAAATTTAATCTGCTGTCTAAACAACTGAATTAGCTTCAGTTCCTGATACTAAGTGAATAACTACCATATTGCGATCGGCTAAGGAATAAATTCGCCACGCATCGGTGTTCAAGAACAAATGTCCCAATTCTTTAAGTTTCACAGAGTTCGAAACACGCCTCAATTAGTTGACTTCATTTTGTACAACAATAAGACAAGAGATCATAGTATTCAGACGGAATGAATACTATTTGAAACTGACATCCTGAAAGGACACTTTAAGCATGCAACAATAACTGGATGCTACATAATGTTGACAGGTTTTACTACCTTAAGTTTACAAGTAAAATGTTTGCTTCTTTGAAGTCAATGATTTTTATGTGTTACACATAAACTTCAACAAGTCGAAATCCAGATCTTAGCTAATAGACACAAATCCAGAGTGCTACAAGAAAGCTGGTTCCTAATTACAGTACAGTAGAGACAAACTACATACGACTAGAAATGTCTTATTGTAAAAGTGACATTCTCAACATTGATGTGAGTTTTACTGATCCATGATATATAAGTTAATACTTGAAAAATGAAAGAAATTTTGTTTGTACAGGTCAACTTATTTAGTACATATCTGTACATAATGCATCTAGAAATGAATTTAGGATTACAAATGAAATACTGTTACCCGATAACTTATTATCTAGAAAAATAATTATAATTAATCTCCTGGTACGACCGACCATGGGAGAGTCAGCTCTCTCGAAATGCTCTCACATGGCCACGTGTATACAACCACTGATAGAGAAGTCTTACTGCTTTCTCTCAGTGAGGATGTTTTTTACGAAATTGAGAGGACGAAAAGTGAATGTCCAGCACTTTAACCAGGTTGGTGGACACGGAAAACCCTGATTCCAAATCAATGGTGCACATGGGTTCCAGGATCCTGAGCGAACAAATGATGTATTAGCCAATCGTTGGTCACCGGCTACCATGGGACTGCATCTCTTGACGTCGCTTTACTGTCTTGTGGATTAGACCTTTAGGTTAAAGGCTCCAAGCGTGGCCCCCTATGAAAACCACCTGCTTCGGTTTGGGCACCCGGACAGTATCCTATCACTCACACAAATAGAATGATTTATGTGTTTAAATAATAAATAATAATGACAGAATATTTATTATTGATGATATATTATTTGTCATATGTACAATTGTATCCGAGACAATATATTTACACAAACAACAAAAACATGTAAGTGAACGTAAGAAAAAACGCGTCAAACAATATCTTTACGACTTTAAAAAAGTAACAATGTACGAGTGGTATATTGTATGAATATATTAAAAATGAAAAAGGTTTTGGATTGACGGTGACATCAATCATTTGATTGGTTGACTGAATATAGAGTTGTAGAGATATTCATTGCAAACATTTACGTGTGAACTCAATCGTTGTATGCAAAGTTGAAGCTGAAATAAAATCGATAAGCCAAAGAATAAGCCAACAATAACGATCATACAAAGGAACATATGGATATAACTAATCAATATACATTTGATTGAATTTGGTATGTGTCATACTTTTTACTGACTACGAGTTGAATAATATACACGCTTATGGTGAACTACCACTGAAGCTGATTTTTATTTAACATTATCATAGACATTCTTTTAGAGATAGCATTCGCATCGTCTGACTTGTCAGGAATCGATCATCTACCAGAAGTTTGTATAAACTTGGGATACGCAGACGACATAACTCTGTTCGGAAGAGACTCCAAAAACATGCAGTTCTTCGAACAGCTATAGTAACAATGCACTTTTTGCCCGCTAAATGCGAAATGTTGCTTCAGGACTAGTTTATACCAACGCCTGGACTCAGGATAGGGATTGAAGCAGTTAAGCGTTTTACCTATCTTGAAAACCCTGATATGTCGATGTCGGACGAAATCTCGGCACGAATTCAAAAAGCCCAGTTGATTCTTGCCAACCCAGATCACTCGTGGGGCAGGTAAGATATCCATTTGACACTTAAAGAACGAGCGTACTGTACAGCAGTCCACTCTGTTTTATGGTTGTGAAACGAGGCCTTTAAATATAGAGGATATTCATAGACTACCAGCATTTGACCTTTGGTGTCTACGAACCATTGCTCGTATATCTTGGGACCACTGAGTTAGCGGTTCTGAGGTTAGATTCAAAGTTCTAAGTGATTACAGCAAATCGATTGACTAGGTGGTGAATCTTTATCGACTGAAATGTTTAGGACATGACATGTTCTACTTATGCTGACCCATCGCAACTTTGACATGGCTCAAAATCCTCCACAAAGCCCCTAACCACTAGTTACGACAATCATGAGAACCCTAACTAGATAGTCTGAACCTACCTACATGAGTCATTTCAACTGTCAGTGTCATCATGAACTGGTGCCATGTCATAGTTCGCCCACGCCTAGGTTTCTTTCAACTTGCTTCTACACTAGCCATCACCCCTCGTCATGGTAGTCGATGGGTAAACATACGTAGAACATGTCATGTCCTAAACATCTCAGTCGATAAAGATTCACCACCTAGTCAATCGATTTGCTGTAATCACTTAGAACTTTGAATCTAACCTCAGAACCGCTAACTCAGTGGTCCCAAGATATACGAGCAATGGTTCGTAGACACCAAAGGTCAAATGCTGGTAGTCTATGAATATCCTCTATATTTAAAATCCATGTTTCACAACCGTAAAACAGAGTGAACTGCCGAGCAGTAAACTAATCCTTTGGTTGAGAGATGGATATCTCGCGTATAAAAAGGAACTTTACATGCATAACTTACCGACTTAATACTTGAGGTAAGGAAGAAATAATTGGACCATAGGCTCGGGCATTGTCAAAAAGTTCGAATAACGGAGCTGCTACTAATTTATAATTTGATGGTACAGCAAACAATGTTTTCTCAGGAAGTTGAATTAGAAATAAACGTGTTTGTTCTTTAGGTTTAGTTACATGAGCAGGAATATATGGATAGCGAGGTGGTTCAAAATTCGGTCGCCACCAATTACCGATACAGTCTTCTGGAATCCAGTCAACTGGGATACCATCCGTCCGGCCTAACATCTAAATGGAAAACGTATATATATATATAATATTTCATTCATAGAAAAAACCATTATGATGGTAGAATAAACCTATATCGTTTGATTTCCCTAGTCAAATTTGGCCAAACTGTTAAATACGTTTAAAAAGTAGTGAAAAGAATCACATGGGGACACAGGGGTAATGTTATACAAAGTATTAAGCCTAGCTCGTTTTATAAATATAAAACGCCAGGTACTTGGATATGAACCACACTCTAAGTAAGAGGGTTAGTGATACTACCCGGTTAGGGTAGTTGGGGCGGGGTTCGGACTTGAGTTTCAGTGGTCGAGATTTAGGCGCCTTAACTACTGAACCGCCTCTCTAAAGAAAAATAGGAAGCCATATCTACTCATATCCAAACAGAATATTACGCATGACTGGAAAATAATTTATTTGAAATGTTATGGATAAGAATTATTGTCGATGTGGATCGACGGTTAACAATTGACGGAAAGCAGTAACTAAGATTCCAAGGAAATTTGTTCAATCTGAGAAGCCTAATTCGATAATGATTCATTTGACAATGAGTCAAAAGTAGGAAAAAGGATAGTCGAATTGTATACATGACATGTGCATTTGCTTTGTTGATTTCTTAATGGTTTGATGTAATATATTTTCAACATACCTCAGATAATAATCGCTTCAGTCCTTCAATTTCTTCTTCACCTGGATGCAGTTCACCTCCAGGGAGTTTGAAAAACGTACCGAGTTGAAGTAATAGGACATGAGGTAGGTTGTGTTCATGTACAAGTAAGATTCCTTCAACTGACCGACGCATACCATACTTCTCAAAATCCTCCTGTAACCGTTGAAATCGAGCAGGAACACTCCGATCTCGTTCATAATTGGGTTCTTTGGTTCCAAAACTGTAACTTTTCAAAGGATATCTAAATACGAATTGGAAATAGGGACAAATTTTATGTGTGCTATGCATTGTTGTATCGCATTAAGCAAGGTTCAAAACCGACTTCATGCAAAATTCATGGAACATCAAATATTCGAAACGAACAAACAATCAGCGCTTACATTACTATAGAGAACAAGATTAGTTAATTATCTAGGTGATTTCACCTTTGAATACAATTCTTAGTAAGAACACTTGCCATATTAAATAGCGATAGAATGCATCTGTAAACAAATTCACCATAGGAAAAGGAAAATCATCTACTAATCAAACATATTCGTTAAAAAGTCGTACTCTGGTGCTAAAACCTCAGAGTGCAAGGAGATGAAGCAAATAAATTCCGAAGTACAAGTAAGTGAATGAATTTTTCCCCCTTGTAAGCTGTCACACTGAGCATTACGGAGTGAGTTAAAATCCGTGGGAAAAGTCTGGGTACATCATGAACGTGGATAACTTATTTTTCTCCAGCCAATAGTTTTTTTCTCGAAGAACTTTACAAATACAAACTTAAACTATAAACCTGTTGTAAAAGATGGATATAATGGAAGGTACTGTATCATCTAAAAATTATTAATAAAGATGAACGACATAACTATGTTATCATGTTTGATATTCCTGACAATAGCCCGATTAAAACGTTTATGAACTATTTTGGTTTAGAGATTCCGGTTATTTAAATTGCTTATACAGAGAACATATTTATTATCTCATGACATCCGGATATAAGTAAAACATGTATCAATTCACAAATGCGAAGGAACCGAATAACAAAATCTACTAATCAGGTGGGCACACATTTAGAATGACGCTAGAAAGACTGTAGAGGGGTGTTTTCTAATAAACTTTATACCCGTATAAAAAATCGATGAGAGGCTGTAACGGTCCGGAGATCTGTTAAGCATCACTAATTCTATGTAAAACGCAGCTAAAAGCTCAGTATACAACATTGTATTCAACTAAACCTGACTTATGATGTCAACAAACTAACACAGCTTCCACAACAGAACGTTATTATTTGTAGGGTTCAGTTGCACAAGTAGAAGAATAAGCTAGACATATTTAATCTCGTCCTCAAACTAATCATAAGATCGGGTAGAAAAATTATCTGGACGAAAATTGAATCGTGCAGGTAAGTACAAAAAGATGAATCAGTGATAAAAGTCTATTCATTCTTATCAAAAACTATTTACATCAAAATTTGACCGTTACTCCAGAGTTCATGACTGCATTTATGTACAAAAAAAAGTTACCTAAAGCATCATGAAACTCCCATGTAGGTTCGAGTCAATAGCAAACTACTGGGATCTTTGAATCACTTACAGCGTTATTGTTTTAGCAACGGGTGTAGAATGGAGGAACTTCTCAGCCGAACCTTTCGGCCAGCCTGTCATGTGTACCATATTAGTGTAACGTACAAAATTTGGTGCCGCGCACTAAATAGAAGTTTCAAATCTTAACATTTAGGAAAGTAAATTCAATGATCCATAATACCCACTGTCTAGTGTTGACTAGTTGGCTTCCTTTTGCTCTATTCTTAATGCTACGGTACATTTCCACGCCTTTAGTATCGTCTAATGTATATGGTCTAGCTACTAGTTGCACCAGTTCTTGTGATTTTGACAATAATTCAGGGGTTGACAGGAGTTTTTCTCATGGAGATTTACTCTTTTCTTGAAATTTTTCATCTATAGCACTAACACTACTTGTTTGATGACGAAACTGTAGCCAGTGATCACTAGATTGAAAAAGTGGTGTAGCGGTAAATAAATCCCTAAAATAAATAGCTCTGTAAGTTTTCGACATTGGATGCCGACCACATTAGTCTTGATGGACTCAACTAGCTGAAGGCGCTCGGTCATGTATCCGCACCAAATCACGAGTGGAAACGCCGTGCTCAACAACCCCTTCAATCGCTAGCTGGATTAGATCAGACGATCCTTGATATATTGATAGCCTATCAAATACATCTTCGAACCTCCTCACTTCTGTCTTTTGATTTCACTTGGTGGGTACGCTTCATATTAGAATTTGTTACTGGTTAAAGCTTTGTCAAACTCCGAATAAATGTGGCATCTTCAGTGGAATGCCAACCTGATTTTCTTTAGTCAATTTCAGAGAGTTTTGTGGGAAAATTAAAATTCTACTGATATCTAGTTAAGTCGTACATTAACCCGGACCTTTATTACGTTATTTAGCAGATCACTGAACTTTGATTATCGTCAATTGGTGGTGCGCTATTGATATGTTTACATGGGAGTGTTCATACAGCTCACTTTCCTAATCCGTTCTATTTGACATAAGAAGTCACTTTGGTAAGATTCCGCTTATCGCGCTCAGTCATGTCAATAAGTTCAGGTTGTCTGGTTAGGGTCCGCATGATTATCATAACCAATGAATAGAGACTTTGTATGACATGGCTCAAAATCGTCCACGATGACGGAGATGCATGTACTAATTGCATTCCTCTAAAGACCAAGCTCCGAAATTTTCCTGTGCCCTTTTTATTTCCTGCACATATTTTTTCTACTGCCGACACTACTTGCACTTCTCTGGGAATTGTCTTCAAATAATTTCACCTGATCACGTGAGTGTTACATGACATCTTAAACCGGTGCGTGTATTTGTCAATTTCCTAGCTGCACATAATGATGATATTACCGGAGGATTTAATTGCCCAGGTACTACGATCGGGTAATTCAGGATGTGTATTAGACGTAGGTTAAGATATCACAACACATCGATTCATTTTAAGTGGACCGCCCGTTTATTCTGAAGATAAGTAACTTTTTGATGGTTTTACGGATTAATAGTTATAATAGTTATTAACACCATACATTATCGCATCCAAGTTGTAGTTTTGTAGAATTATGGTCTAAATCACTATAAGTCGTACTTTAGTAATAAACCGAATTCCATAATTGTAGATTTTTCATGATGTGACTACCTAATCTATGAGATCTTAGGTGGAAATCCCATCATTTTCTACACTGACTCGTCGTATCAATTCAATTAGTAATATGATACTTTGTACTTCTGAAGAACATATTTAGGCTGAAGTTAAGATGACATATTTAATGAGAATAAAGGAAGTTATACAGAATGACCACGTCTGTGAGGCTGAGCAATGCAATCCGACTGAATGAATTTTCCCGCGTTCCCCATTGTTGACCCCCTCTCCATGCTAAATGTTAAATATCTATTTTGTTAGTTATGTCAGGTTCAGCTTTGAGGATTGTGTTGTTAGGACCAATACCACCACAGTTTGAGTTTTGGAATACCATTATCATATTATTATATATATATGAGAGGTTGAAAACTTCTGTTCCCCGCTTAGTGGCCAATCCTCATGGGGCCGTGAAAGTATTTTTGTCCTGAATAGACATATAGTGCCTGATTAGAAGAGGTATTTCGTAGAAGATATGAAAAAGATAGGACAAAACTCTAACAGTTTCTCCAAGGTACCTATAGGCTCTACCATACAGCAGTAATATATCCAACAATTTGCTCTCTGTTGTATAGCATTTTGAAGTGGTCTCTAATTCGTAGACCTTTTCACTCTGAACTTTATGTTAAAGGTGTCCTATAGACTGTCTATCGACGCCCACTCTCTTAGCTGATGATCATCAGTGAACTGTTGTTGAAATCTTGTGGTGTTTATATGAAATGATGGAACTTTTGTATATTATTGTGAACATCGCTCTAAATGTGATACCTTCACATATACACCATCTTTTTCTTTATTTGTTATCTGGTAAATTTGTAGCTGCTAGAGTAGATTTTGGACAGACCCGGAAATTTCAAGTGCATGCATTACATTTAATGTCAGTAATAATTACAGGCTTTTCTCAAAGTACTAGCTGTCGAACTATCTGAACATGTTATCTAATTCAGATCGCAGCCCAATCCCTCTAGCAGTTGGTTCTGGGCGACACAAATTCAATGTGCGAAATGTAGAATTTCATATGACCGATTGTTCTTTGATGGGTGATCCTGCTATGATCATCTCTCTGATGGTCATGGTAACCACCGGTTGGGTTACAGCCTTAGGGTGATCTTTCGTGCCTTAAGGTAACCCTCGTGCTATTGATAGAAGAAACCAGAGAAGTAGTGAATAGGTCTTTATTTCGATCTTCGCGCAGTCACAGTGGAGCGTGGGATTATCTGTTCAGACAAACAAAGGCTCTCAACATTCAAGATAATAGGGAATATAACGCTTATGAAAAATAAGGAAGTGAATGAATACTTGAACAATACTGTTTTGGTATAAGCTTGGTTGTTTGGGGTCAACTCTTAACCAACCAACCTGAGCTGTTACATTAGCTTCCCCCTAGAATCGACTTCCGTAGGAACGTCGGTTCGATTAACCTATCTATCGAAAACACCTTAGTTCTATTTCTCATCCCAAGGGAAAATTATCAACTCGCTCACTATTTGACTTACAATCAGTGACGACTAACGCTGTCAACGATAGTCCATGGATGTCTCCTCATTTACTAGCTTGTCATCTTATTTTGTAGCATGTGATCTATTCTACAACTATCGCTGACGGTTTACTGCGTGCTTTCAAGAGAAAGAGTGTGAGAATGTGGAATAAGAATATCTGAGGAAGTGCCGCGAGCGGGCTACCCAACACCATGTTGGTGAGGTACGATTTTTCCATGCTCAGACCGGCTATCAGGTGTTTACTCACCTGCCTCTTTAGTCGCCCTCAAGTAAAAAGTAAAGAAGAATCTACTTCAAAGGTAACGGTGAAAACCAATCACACCTGAAGAACTGCTCCACTGCCTGCATAAAAATAATAAGATACAAAATGGAAATACAAAAATATAATTTATAATTGTTCGGTTCCACGTAAGTGATTGGCCTCCAGAAAGGACTGGTATTCTGGAAGAAAATAGACATAGTGTAGATATCTTGTGCACGAAAAACCATGAAAACAAAAAAAATACTCTTTTGTAATGCATATATGTAAGAGGGTGAACTTGCTAGAAGTTGGACTCATTGTCAAACCCGATCAAATGTATGACCTTGGGCCTATGACGACCGCCTTTTATAACCAGGTACGTAACCAAGGGTGCATAGTTGTACTCCACAAAACGGAAAAGAATATACGGTTAAGGAGGAGAAAAAAATTGTGTAGATTCTGAGGATTAAGTACAATTGTGTCAAATACTCTTTTCTGGTTTGATCTAAGTATGTATGATTTATTGAAACAATATTTCGTCAATTCATCCAAGTAACGAATTTGTCTGCACCTTAGAAATGTGTAAGTCCTATTACTCATTAGTATTATATACGATTAATCGGTAAAAGGAAAGATTGCAGTCATTCGCCCGTGGTTTGATGTGGTCTAATGGCTAGGCACACGGTCTAGCATCCAGGAGGGCAGAGGTTCGAGTGCGTGTGGGGCTAGCGTTTTCGTTCACCAAAACCCCCTTCAATACGATGTTTGTTGGCCATATGTTGCTCAGATATGAGAGAAAGATAACAGGAGGACGGATTGATATGTCAAAGTGCCATATTGGAATAGTACAAGTTCTTTGTTTTTATTAATAATAATGCTATAGAAAAAAAACTACAAGTGTGGTAGATTTCCATTTTACGTTATAATTAAACCAACGAGAAAAAAAAGGTATATATATATAAGTTATTGACATAACACGTTTTTTATAACGCTAGTGTTAAGTTCCAGGATTTTGTATGGACCACTAATAATAATTGGTTTAACGTTAGCATAGCTGTGATATTCATATTAGTTCAATGTTGTGATTACTTAACAGTTCCCTTATAAGTTGTGTTTAAAATTAGGTATGTGGAATCAATGCGGCTAACATAGTAACCTTACAGTAACGCACTGTACTATATCTTCACGGTTATTGATTCTTAAATGTCAGAAATTTAAAAAAATTTTGAATATTGCCAATAATGATGGGTTATATGATCACACTAAAAAGCATGCTGTAGGAAAACTGGTTAAGTCATTATGTAAGTTTCCTAAACATGAAAAAAAAATGATGAGAACTTTATTAAGTATTTGACCATAGTTTAATCCAAAATGTTTTGTCTAGAAAACCACTTATTAATAGTAGTATTAAGCGTATCAAGCTACTAAACACATCTTCGACCGAAAACTTTTAGAAGTAGTTCATATGGTATATATGTATAGCCAGTCTACGTGAAAAATGTATATAGATATATAAGAAGTACAGCCAACATAGTTAATTAACCAGAAAAAGAAATTATAAAACTCGCCTGGGTTGCTTTTTGAATTCGTTGTATTTGCCAGTGTTAGTTGTATGAGTTTGATTAAAATCCGCAGCCATCGTTTCGGAATACCTAGCTTATGTGTCCAGTATTTAAAAAAAATTTAACATAACACTTATATATCAAA